GTTTTCAGTGACCGAAAACGCCGTTTACGTGTGGACGAAAGGTGCAAACGCATAGAAAAATCTGCGTTTTCAAAAATACCCGGGTACGTGTGGACGTAGCCTGTGATAATCAAAACTTGGGTAATTCTCAAAACTTTTGGCAATGACAAGATGTAAAAAAAATCCAACTTTAAAAGTGGATAGAGCCCTTTGGTAACAGTGTGGATGGTAAAATTTGACTTTTGCCAGCTATCTGTTGTAGTTAGTCTACTTTTGATTCGAGCCACAGAAATGTGAGTTTAATCTTTTTAATTACTTTCTTGTATAAAAGCATGATGTCGCCAGATAATTCACATGGAGCCAAGCCTATAATTTAAACACTAAATCACTTCTGCATGCAGCGCCTAAAGGTAGTGACAAACAAGAACGTTCTCTGCACCCTTGTAGTTCAGTGCGTATGCATGTGCGTTCACATTCACACACAGCCACTCGTTACTGTGTCCCACTCCAGCTGAATTGACTTTGCGCTTTGTTCTTATTCTTTCCAATTGGCTCAGAGACAGGGCCTGTAATAAAAACAGTGGTGAGCTCAGGTCAAGGTAAAGGCAAGACGCAGATAATGAGAGGAAAGCAACCTCTTCAAGTCCTCCCTCTCCTCTTCTGCCTGGAAAGAGCGCTCGATTCGATTGCTTACACGGAGCAAACGCAAAGTAGCACACATAAACATTGCTACGGCACAAAAACAAGGGGAGCTTAAATGTCAGAAGGCTGAAAGCTGAACTGACATTCTGTGACAGATGCCGACTGGCGAGACAGAAACAATAACAAAATACAATTTCAATCTATTACTTTAAATTAAATTGACCCGTCAGAAAAACAGAAAACCTTTTCGGAGATGCACACTGAACTGCGCGGCTCCGGAAGATAACAGAATCTTGACAAGAAGTGGCTTTTAGACTTGAGATAATAGACAAATCACAGGTGTGTTAGCGCAGGCTCAGGTCACCCTGCTGTTCATACAATATTGATTTAGTTGGCAGCCAACAAAGGCGCACAAAGGGCACAGCCAGGAGAAACATGTATTCGTCTAGTCGCACTGATTTTGCCAGTGGCTCTTAAAGAATAAGAACAGGGGACAGTGGGAGAAAAACAGACAGAAAAGTACTGTTTTGGTTTGGAGGCTGGCACTGAACACTGCAATCATCTGAGAGCTTCACACACAAGGTTCAACACAGAAGAAGAAAAGGCCTCTCAGCCCCCGCTGTCTAACTGTAATCTCAAAGGCCTAATTAAAGGCTGAATTAAGACACTTGAACAGAGACGTAGCGCAACCTCTTTGGCTGCCACTTGATGCTAGAATTAAG